TAATCTTCGTCCTTTCATCAGCAAAAAAAAAAATACGGTTTTTGTTCTTGATAAAAACTTCAGTTCATATTTTGTAGTAAAGCCACGCCCACTCACCAAAAACGCCCCCACAGTCACAGCAGCCGCCGGCACCTTTATGCAAATAGTTAGATTGTTTTCCCAAATATACCCTGTGGCAATTAAATAATAAAGGGTATGCTGGTCCTAGACTTTGTTATATGCAAAATTAATAATATATTAATAATAGGTAGAAAATAAGTTATTAGTTAACTTATAATCCCAGGATATTATTTTAATATTATCAGTTCCTTAAAAAGTTTATTTTCCAATTATTCGTATTTTAAAATTCTTTTGATTTCAAATCCTTTGAAAGATCAGTTTAGAAATAATCTAAAACGGTAAGTAAAATATCGAGTCAGTTAGCTTAAAGTGCTCTGATTTTGACTAAATATATTCGAAAAGATTAGGCGACACAGAGGAAGAGAAAGGAAAACTAGATTGCAGTTGGAAAGTTGAAAGAAAAAGCTCTTGCCTCGTCTTTTGCATTATTTTATGGCCTTAAGCAAATGATTTTTCTTTGCCAGAGTTTCTGGATAAACTTTTCCGCTGCCAAGGAAGTTGTGGCATTTTTGTGTGTGTGAGTGTGCATATTTTTTTCCAAACAATTTTTCAACTTTTACTCTTTTACTCCTTTATGGTATTTTTTCGGTATATTTGTTGTACGCTTTATCTAATGCTTTGTTCCCCATTTTGTTTGGCCAAGAACTTTGTGCCGAAAAGCTGCATTGGGAACATTTTGTATTATTCAATTATGGCAAGCTGAAGAGATGATGCACCCCCTCCCCCGCCCCCTTCCCCCCTCTCTTTCTGTATTCATCTTCTCATTTTTGCAATTTCAACTTTTCATTTTTTGGCTGTAAAGATTGCGCTCGTAAATCGCCCGCTTCTCCAGGGACTGTCATTAAAGTTAGATGTAGATGGAAAAGGACGAGGAGGGGGGAAATATTTTGGGAAAAGAGAATGCGATACAGGGGAAGTTGCCTCCGAGGAACGAGGGGCAGGGTATCTTGTTCTGCGCGGGGCTTTTAAAATGAGAACACGACTGAAATGAAATGCCATCAAGTGAATGACGAAAGTCACGTGCCAGCGGCTGACGGAAAACAATTCCAGCGAGTGCCAACATTCAGCTGCGGCATGCCTCAAACTCAAACGCAAACTAGAAGTGTGCGACAGCCTACACTGCGCGAAACTCAGTCCACAACAAATCAGAGTGCACAGGGGAAAAAAAAGATCTCATTCTTCGGTCTTGGATTATCCCTTAAAATGACACACAGAGAAAAAAGTCTCAAAACGCCGACGTGCCAGAATCATATTTAGAAAATCTGTTAGAAAAGCTTATCCTAATTGATGTAAATATTTTGTGTGATATAGTGTTCTTTAAGATTCTCATGTGAAATCAAGTGGAAAACATAAAATAGTGGCGTTGGATTCTCAGTTGTAATCAATTAGTATATATTAAGGATTTTACACAATTGTTTCTCTTACTCTAGAAAAAGACCGTTTAAATCATACAATAACTGACCCATTTGATATAAATCTTTAAATTTTAAGCAAAAGTTATAGTGACATTGTTTAACGTAATATTTTACAATATTTTAAGTGCAGTTTTTGTCACCTGCCGTCTGGGATGTGGACACATTGTGACATATGACGAGTATCTCCCACTCGTATCTCCCTCTCTCTCTCGCTCCCCTCTTCTCTCCTGCTCGCTCCTTTTCTGCCATGTTGGGACATTCCATTGCGGAAATTATGTTCCAACAGACCAATACACAAAAACACATACGTTTAGGTACAGGAGACATTTCCTTTGGGGGAAAAAAAATAAACCTTTTTTTTGTATACTACATTATTAGGAATAAATATTGTATTGATTTCATTTCTTACTTCAACTTAATAAAACACTTTGAAATAGTTTTTGTTTTGTGGATATTTTTATTTAAAAAGTATGATCCTAATAATGGCAAAATCTGCGCCTAAGCAATTATCTTTTTACTCAATTTTTCCCTTCACCCCGACCACTTAAATATGTTTAGTAATCAAAGTGTTTGATACTAAATTTATGTGTTCGTCATGTAGAGAGCTCACTGTATCTGCACGGTGATGTCGCACTCACGCACATCCATTTGAGGTTGACATTCCTGCGCCTGTGGCACGTTTTGTGCGACGTTTGCACATTGCCAGGATATAACTTGATGCTTAATGAAGACATCCAAACATCTCACATACACACTGGCAAACAAGCCAGATGGATGAGTGTGTGCGTGTGGACCACAAGAATACCGAAATTATTCAATCAATCAGTCAAATCCATCAAACAATTTCCGTAAATTAGTCGACTTGATGATTGAGATACTTTGCTCTTTTGCCAGTGCTTAGCTACCACTTAATTTGAAAATCAGGTTTGGTTAGGAGGTATACATATGCAAAAGTTAAGTGCCATTTTTTAAAGGTCATAGCTTGGTGTTGGATCTTTTCCCCTTTCAGTTCATTTATCATGTATAACGACTAACGTAAAATTTAATGCATTACTATCAAAAACTTTTCTAATCATTAAAGTGTCAAAAAAGTGATGAAAAGTTAAAAGCATAAGTTGTTAAACATATATTTTTTAAACTTCAAATTTAGTTTGCAAAGTTTAACTCAAAGAGTTAACCAGTCTATTAATTGCAAACTATTTATCTACCATTTATTTATTAAATGTGGTTAATACTTCAGCCCATGTTGTATTCCATATAGTATTATTATTTTTAATTTTTGTAAATGTTACCTAATTAATTTTGATTTAGAATATTTACTTTCTTTACCGTTTAATTCCCTTTCTGTTTCGCCTCGCACTTGACATTCCTGCATGTCATCCATCAATCTGAGCTGCGGCTCATTAAACCACGCAAAATCTGAGAAGAAACAGCCGGAGGCGAAAGCACAAAAGCTGCTTCCATTTCAATGCCTGTGCTGACCTGACCTCCATCCTTCGTCCTGCCGGCCATCCCGTGTCCTTCTCCCCTTTCACACCCACTTTCTGGCAGCTGTTGTAATCCGTTTAAAGTGTTTTTGCGGGTTGTAAACATTTCGACTTTTAATTCACTGACAGTGGTTCTTTATTTCCCTCTCTCTTTCTTTTTCATATACCTTTCTCACAGTGACCACCGGCTTTGGTTTTTCCGCGGCTTATGGGCGGCATGGGGGCGTGTTTCCGGATAAATGTTTTTTTGTTCACCTGCTGTCCGTTAAGAGTATAATTCGCAAATAAAAACATTGCTAATTAGGTTGGATGCAAAAAAAAAACGGAAGCTGAATAAAAAATTACATTTTAAAAATATTATTTATTTATTCTTGTTAATTATCAAAAAACCGCTATAAAATGTAGTTTTGAAACAAAATAGATTACTTTAAAACGAAAACTAAAATCTAAACCAAAAACAAAGTGAATACGGAATGAGCCATTTCGCCTTATTAAATTAGGACAATTTTCCAAATAATTTCCCAAATAAATTCGATTACTCTGTGTATGCTTAACCCCAACTCGACAGCAACCTTCACCTCGGGACCGACCTTAACCCCATAATAGGGCCAGATTTAAGCGTGGCGTGATTGGAGCCCAAGCATTTAGGGGGTTAAGATGGGGTCGGTTTGGGGTTGGATTGTTCAGTAGGTTATGTCAACGCGTTGGACTTTAATTAATTACCGGGAAAATTGTTAATATTTGTTCAGCCCTCGCTTGCTGCTCTTTCTCTTTCACTCCCGTTCTTGCTCCCCTTACGAAAGCAAACATGACAAGGAGGCGAATGGGGGTGGGGTGTTGGTCCTTGGTCCTTGCTCCTTGCTGAGTGCTTTGTCCTGTGGTCGTAATTTAATTTTTGCAAAAAATACCCAAATGAAAGCCACACCAAAAGAGGGAGAAAGCGAGAGAATAGCGCTCCAAAGTATGCAATGCCGAATTATGCTGTGTTTTCGCGTGTGTGTGAGTGTGTGTGTGTTAGCGGAAGTACATGGCAAAATGCAAAATAGCGCAGACCACACCAATGCAAGCACACACACAGGCACACACAGGTGCATAACCAAATACTTCCACTAAACCAAATAGAAGCTACAAAAAAAAGATTGGAACTGTAGTCCAATGGAAATATTTCATTTTAAATCTAAAGTTACTTAGCAAAAAATATATTAAATGTGGAAAATTTGTTCTTAAAAAATATAACCATTCTATACATAAATATTTATTTTTATGACTTTTGAATTTAAGATTACATTTTTAAGCATCAGCTTATAAAAGTTGTTTTGTACATAAAAATACACTTTTTTAAATTTGATTACAAAATTAAAATTGCAAAAAAAAAACTTAACCAAATGGTGCTTATTAATAAACTTTGCATAGGGTAATGAAAATGAAAAGGATTTTCCGCTGCCCATTTCATTAACATTTTTGCCACCGAACTACGTGACTTTCCAAGTCTGTATGTGTGTGTGGAGCTGGGCGATATTCAATTGGAAAAAAGGGAAAATCAACTCGAACACACTGACGTTGGCAAACATTTCAAGCCGACTTGAAAGCGAAAAACTAAATATGAAACGAATTTCAACAACGAAGGCCAAATATTAAGCAGAATGTAAATATAGAAATAACGCGAATTGTGCGCAAATCTGCATATTGTATCCGTGCAAAATGATTTCGATTTGTTGGGGGCTCGTTAGCGTTGAATGTTGCATTTGCAACCAATTCTTCTCTATTTTAATTTGTAAATTGAATAATATTTCGTTTTGGTTGTTAAAAAAAACAAAAATCGTACATGAATAATTCATTCAATGAAATGGAAAAGTGATATGTTTGTTAGGTAATACATCTATGCTTATTTAACATGGCGTAATAGTAAAGCTTTTAGATAAAACTATACAAAATAATTATAATAAATTAATGTAAATTCACCTTTTCCGTATTTCAGATGATGGAGCATGCGTGGCACAACTACAAACTGTATGCGTGGGGCAAAAATGAACTGCGTCCGCTGTCGCAGCGTCCCCATTCGGGCAGTATCTTTGGATCCTACGATCTGGGCGCCACCATTGTCGACGGCCTGGATACCCTGTATATCATGGGACTGGAGAAGGAATATCGCGAGGGTCGCGACTGGATAGAGCGCAAATTTTCACTGGACAACATCAGTGCGGAGTTGAGTGTTTTCGAGACGAACATTCGATTTGTGGGTGGCATGCTGACACTGTACGCCTTCACGGGGGACCCACTGTACAAGGAGAAGGCCCAGCACATCGCGGATAAGCTGCTGCCCGCCTTCCAAACACCCACAGGGATTCCCTACGCACTGGTCAACACCAAGAGCGGCGTGGCCAAGAACTACGGATGGGCCTCCGGCGGCAGTTCCATCCTTTCCGAATTCGGCACCCTTCATCTGGAGTTCGCCTATCTGAGCGACATTACCGGGAACCCACTGTACCGCGAACGAGTGCAGACCATCCGCCAGGTGCTCAAGGAGATTGAGAAGCCGAAGGGCCTGTACCCCAACTTTCTCAATCCCAAGACAGGCAAATGGGGACAGCGTAAGTTTTGGATCGATTTCCAGGGGTTTAGCCACTTTAGACTTTTAATTTAAACATAAATGTATCTCGGGGGTTTCCTTATCTTTCACGACCAAACCACAAATTAAAAAAAACCCTCCAGCAAAAAGCTATAAAGCAACAAACATATACGTTACTTATTTTGGCCAAAATCCGTAAAAAAAAAGAGCAGATTTTTTCGGTTTTTTAATCAAAACCCTTGGAAATAGTGGTCGCATGTAGGAATGTCATACCTCGTTGAATTGACCAAATTTCCAATAAAGTCCCATTTTCAGAAAGTGAATATCGTAAAAACACATTTTTCGCAAAAAAGTCATAATGAAATCGATCAATATAGTTATAATTTCTCCTTGTTATCTTATTATACCCGTTACTCGTAGAGTAAAAGGGTATATTGTATTCGTGCAAAAGTATGTAACAGCTAGAAGGAAGCGTTTCCGACCCTATAAAGTATATATATTCTTGATCAGGGTCACTAGCCGAGTCGATATAGCCATGTCCGTCTGTCCGTCTGTCTGTCCGTCCGTATGAACGCTGAGATCTCGGAAACTATAAAAGCTAGAAGATTGGCATTTTGCATGCAGATTCTAGGAGTTCCTACGCAGCGCAAGTTTGTTTCAAAAAGGTGCCACGCCCCCTTTAACGCCCACAATCGCTTATATACGATATAATATATATTTCGGAAAAGTAAAAATGCAGTTTTATTGTGTTTATCAATACCTATCGAAATTTTTCAAATCGGACCATTCGTTAAAAAGTTATGCGTGATCAAAGTTTCTATCTCCATCTCCCTCGCACTCCCTGTACCTGAGTAACGGGTATCTGATAGTCGGGGCACCCGACTATAGCGTTCTCTCTTGTTTTTAATATTAAATTAATATATAGACATTTTAGGGCTTTGGCGTTACACTTTTTTACTGTAAAACCTAAATTCTCTACTCTCACACAGTCCACATGTCCCTGGGTGCCTTGGGCGACAGCTATTACGAGTACTTGCTGAAGGCCTGGCTGCAATCCGGCCAAACGGACGAGGAGGCTCGCGAGATGTACGATGAAGCGATGCTGGCCATTATGGACAATATGGTGCGAACCAGTCCGGGCGGACTGACATACGTCTCTGATCTCAAGTTCGATCGGTTGGAGCACAAGATGGATCATCTGGCCTGCTTTTCGGGTGAGTTTTAGGATCTGGCATAGTTAATTATAATTAATTTTATAATAATCTTACTTTATTTTTTAGGTGGCCTTTTCGCTTTGGGAGCTGCCACACGTCAAAATGATTATACGGACAGGTACATGGAGGCGGGCAAGGGTATTACGAACACCTGCCACGAGAGCTACATTCGAGCCCCCACACAGCTGGGTCCCGAGGCCTTCAGGTTGGTATTGGTTCTACTTCTACCCCCATAAAATCAGAACGATACACTAATTGCTCTGACCATTTCACACAGATTCAGCGAAGCGGTGGAGGCGCGAGCACTGAGATCGCAGGAGAAGTACTACATTCTCCGGCCGGAGACCTTCGAGAGCTACTTCGTGCTGTGGCGCCTCACGCACGACCAGAAGTACCGCGACTGGGGCTGGGAGGCGGTCCTCGCCCTGGAGAAGCACTGCCGCACGGCGCACGGATACTGTGGCCTGCGCAACGTCTACCAACAGGAGCCGCAGAAGGACGACGTCCAGCAGAGCTTCTTCCTCGCCGAAACGCTAAAGGTAAACATTCATGAAATAGGACAATAGAGAAACCATAATGCATTTCCTTCGATTTCATTGTCAGTAAAAGTAATTTTGTATACTTAACAGAATAATAGTTTTTTATATTGTTGATTCTTTCCTTATTCAATCTGTTGATTTTTGTCCGCTTATCAATATTTATTACTGAGACATTTGTTTAAGAAAAAGCTTTGCAAACATTTAAGCGTCAATAAATAGATATGATCTGTAACTATATAATAAATTCAATTACATTTGAGTTAGATATAATTTTAAAGTTCGATTTTGATTTAGTTACAAATGTGCATTTACCAAAATAAATAACACGAAATGCCTATGGAATCATTTGAATTCCCAATTAAAAAACGAAATTAATCAATTGCCTTATTTGCAGTACCTGTACTTGCTGTTCTCGGACGACTCTGTGCTGCCGCTGGACGAGTGGGTGTTCAACACGGAGGCCCATCCGCTGCCGATCAAGGGGGCGAATGCGTACTACAGACAGGCGCCCGTAACGCTCCCGGTTTCGAATGCCTCGTAAGCGGGCGCCACGCTGCGCCGCTGGCTTTTCGGCCTGTCCCTAGCAATGCACCTTACTTAGCTCTCGATACTTGCACACGTATACGTGTACCAGATCGTAACTCTTTTTTTTTCTTTGGGTATAAGTTTTTAGTTAGTTTACGTGATGTAATGACAACTGCGTACGCAAGATATTGTATGAATACAATCAGCCAGGCACACACACACACACACACACACGACACGAGAAACTTTCAATGTAACATATTTATAAAGCTTGCACATATATAGGAACTTAAACTTAAACGAATATATCGTAGTTTAGTCCATAACTGTTTGCACAAGTTTCTCCGAGTCTCTCCTTTTGATTTACCTAATGGAATATTATAATCCAAATATTTGACAGAGGTGGACGGTGGGGCAGACCTCAATTTCCATTTAAATGCGAATAATGTAGACGTAGGCAAACACTCTTGATATTAATTATGATATGATATATGATATATATGTGTAAATGTAAAACTCAGGTGTTCTAATTATGATTTTCCTTGCGCTCACACAAGGCTCTTTCGCACTAACCAGCTACGTAACTATCTCTACAAGCATTCTACACGCTATTCTCGATCTGCGACTATATCTCTCTGTGGATTTATGGCGACTATAGCGGGCATTTCGACAGATCTACTCTGCTGATTTCCAATTCGAATCTTTGACCACTTTGTTTTGTACATAATTTCTATTGACTTTCCTCGCAAAATGAAGGCAGAAGAAAATCGAATTGATATTTATACAAATATATTCTTACACAATATAGTTTACTTTGTAGCCTAAATATTTAAATATAAATCTAATATATAGTCTAGCTTACTTTATGTGACGAAACAAATGTAACGCGAAATACCTTAAATCCAGAACATCAAGCGAGACGAAAGTAAAGAAAATATTTATAAAAATATAATTAAATAAATATATATTTGTATTTAATTAAATCAAGTAAAACGTAGGCAATTGTTAAAATAAATGAATTATACGAAGGCACGTGCCGAGCAAATGGTAATTTAATTTTTAACAACTGTAAAGGTTTTTTATAATAATAATACCAACAATAATCATATTAATAATTCTATGAATAACTGTAACCCTTAGTCTAAGCCACAAGCATCGCATGATAAATGAAATATAGAAGTTATTCAATTGTTTTTTTTTTTTTAACATACGCAGCTTGTGCTGTGTAAAGTGATTTAATAAACGTAAAAATAATATATAACATAGGCTAAGACACTAATGTAAAATCGAAGAATTTTAAACAAACATTTTAACGAAAAAAATAATATCAAATTTAATTAAATTAAATCGAAAAAATGGAAAACAAAAACAGCATAAAACAGGCGAAAATGCTACACAAAAATAGGGCGCTAAAAAGTAAAATCGAAACTAACTAAGCATAAATTTAGTGTTTACAGCAACCTTTTTTTGTTTAGATCAAATTAGAATCGAGGCAAATAGCGAGATGTATATTATATATCGAATGATAATGCCTAATACCCAAATTCATACGGCAGTTTGTAAATGCAACATATATACATTCATCAACTGCAGTCCCTGAGCTGCTGGAGATGACAACTGTATTTTGCATAAATCATAAGTTTAATAAAGATCTAATAATTAACTTATAACTCTGCATTTTTATTTAACATCCTTACGGCTTTAAGTGTGGTACGAATATTTTTGGTGTTTTTCATGAATTCTTTTAAAGCCGTACTTACAAAATCCATTCAAAGTTTTTATTATTATGGCAAATCAATAATTTATTCAAAACTAATAATGTTTACTAGACTAACACCAAAACCACACATATTTTCTTTTATATCTGCTTGAGATAAATATTTAATATTACAAGCTCCGCGGTTTATTCAGCTTTTTCTTTCTTTCTGTAAATATTTTTATCTCTCAGCGAACTGATAGCTCATTGATAGTTTGTCTGACTATAAACAAGTACCCCCCATTCCCCATTGATTCCACTTTCAGATATATTTATGTATCTGCCACACAAGCCACTTCACAAGCAGTTGTCGAGCTCAATTAATGAGCAACACACTTAAGCTGAATGTGCGTATACTTAATGAAGAAACTTGCACAAAAGGCGAACACAAAGCACAATGTGAGGTTAACAACATTCGCCGTCGATTCGAGAACCCGGAAAGGGAATATGCGACAGATACACCCTTCATAGCCCCTACTATTAACCCTAGTTGTTTTAAAAAAAAATTTGATATTCATGCAAATCTTAAAATTAACTTAATAATGTAAAATGAGGTAAAATAATTATGTTTTTGAACATAAACTTTTCATTTAGCTTTCAGGAAATAATTTAATTTACATTTGGAATCAAATTCTTTGTGTCCCCTTCTATATTTCAGGTTTTAAGGTATAGATATGATTATTCACTTATTTCTATGAAATATATGTTCCAAAAAGACTTGTACCCAATGGGTTAACAACGATTGGCGAGCAAAGTCCGACATTTGCCAGCATAAGATCGCTTGGAAGGGGAATTGAACTGCGAGGGAATGGTGGGGCGAATGCGAACAAAGCATAACCATAAAATGGAGGAGTGCCAACCGAGGATTGCATTCACCACCCACCAACCGACCACCTACCGCCCACCACCCAAAAAAAGGGAGAGCGAGAGTGTATTCGACGAAGTACACGGAGAGAAATGTAAGCTCAAAATAAAAACTCAATGTTTTATAGCAAAAATACAGCACATGAGTCCTGGCTCATAGCTGGACCAGGGAATGTTGGGTTTCCAAAAATGTTCAACGAAAAAATGAAAATGAATATTGTAAAAACGAATTTTTCGCAAAAAAATCAAAGGGTTAAAGCTTTTGAAATTATTTTTTTCCAAAGTCCGGAAAAAATTTGTTCTATTTTTTGGTTTTTTAATCAACTCCCTGGGAAATAGTGGTCGCGTGTTGGAATGTTATACCTCGTTGAATTCGTAATAAAATTTCCAATCAAAAATATTTTTCGATTATGAGGTTTATTGTTAAGATACTTCGAATTCTAAAAAACAGAAGTCAAAGCTTGTTCTCCAAGTGTATTGAGACCGGTCGTTTTCTCTCTCTTTCGTTTCATATCTTTGTTGCTTTTCTTTGTTGAGTAGACGAGCCCGCCAGACCAGCTGAGAGTGTGTGTGTGAGCGAGAGTGAGCAGCTGTGTGTATGTGCTGCATGGCAATGCCGTGGATGACACTGTTGTTGTACCTCAAAGTTGTTGTCATACCCTAGGTTTTTAAGAAAGTCACACAAGTGGTCGGAAAAAGGTTTGTCAACCAATATTTACACACTCGAAAAGTACCAAAACAATTTAAAATGTATCATTCTAAAAATAAAATGGAAAACCCATTGAAAGAATTGGCATAATATTTATTTGGTCTGGCTTAAAGTTGCTCTTTAAACTAATGAGCACTTAATAATGACCATTTTTTATATTGAGGAAAGTTTATAAGCATCAAAATTAATCTTAATTTTATCAGTAGTTGGTTAAGAAACTCTTACTCTTTGTATAAGTTAAGTATTTTTCACTAAAAAGAATTAATAAAACTTAAGTCCTGTTTTTTAATCCTTCTTTCCCAAGTTAAGTTCTGGTTACCATGAATATAATATTAATTATTTCTGTTGCGAGAATTTTCTTAAATGAACATCGTAATAATGTATTTACAACTGAAATTTCGATTTTTGCTCTTAAATAAGGGAGTAAAATAACTTGATAATATTATTTTTACCGATAACTAGGGTATTTACTGGTCGACTCTGTCTGCTCAGAAGGTTCTACTCTTTGTGCTTCGCTTGTTTTTGTTTTTTTGTTTTGGTCGTTGACGTTGCGGCGTCGCTTCTAGCAATCCGCACAGTTCGCATCGAGACTTCGAGCAGTGCGGCAGGCGAAAACTCCGGCTGCAGTTGCAGATACAGATACAGATACAAATATAAAGATAGATACAGAAGCGAATCGGGACTAGAGGTACAGGCCATTGCCACAGAGATCCAGTTGCAGACTTCACCAGTGAAAATGCCGTTCCCGATCCATCCGCCCAAGCAGATGCCCTGCCCCCACTGGCAGCACTTCCCCATCAGTCCCGTGGACAGCAAGCCCAATCCCTTCGATTCGGTGGGCGGAGCGGCGGCAGCGGCCACCCAGGTCAACATAGGGGTTAACAAGCCACCGGAGCCGGTATCCTACCGCTATTGCTTACAGTGTAAGGCCTCCGGTAGGGAGACATCGAACGGCGTCGACAGGGAGTAACTCCCGAAACTTTGGAGGTGACCCATCCAGCAATCAGTCATCACCTGTAATCAGCCACTTCACTGGAGGACACACTTGGAAAGCCAATTAAAAGGAAAACAATCATAAGAACCACAGAACAAAGTTTTGATTTTAAGATAACAACTTAAACTTTCATTTCGAAATCGAAGAGATATGGTATCTAAACAAACCATCCTATTTTCCAAAATAGATCTGATCTTTAAAATAATATTTTAAATATCAAATTTTTTTTATTTAATCCTGTGAACCAAAAAATCATACAAATGTGATTATCCGGTCAAACACTCATTCACTTTTTTCTGTGCTTTTGTTATTTCATTTTAAAATAGTTTTGATATTATAAAATTATCAAAATAATGTAAAACCAATTGGTCTACTAAAAGCAGGTCCAGAGTTAACTAATATTTTTTTTCGTAAAAGGAACTGATATTAAAAATCATCAAAATAGTGAGCGATCATTTAATATCACGTCCAAACGCAGCTTAATTTTTTTCTGTGTTGTTATTCATTAACCTAACCTAAGCACATGTTCCATTTATTTTGTTTTAATGTTTTCATTTGGGCAAAGTGTTTTTTTTTTTCGCTATAACTAAGTTAAGCATTTTATACGTATTTAATTTGTATTTAGAGCTAAAGACTACAGTTTATACAGTTTATGAATTTATGAATTTTTGATATATATTTGTATAAGAAGAGCTAATAAACGCACGACGCATTTAAAAAAACGAGTTTTACACAAATACACAAGCACTCCCCATAAACACAAGCCATATGTTGTGTGTTTTTTGATTCCAAACTCAGACTTTGTTTGGTTCTGTTTTCGTTCTCAGTTTCGTTCGATTCGAGTCTGGGTTTTTATGTTTATCACATTTCCCAAGGTCACCGACGATGGGGCGTCAAACGAAAAAAAAGGTGCGATAAGAGCGGCTTGAGATTTGAGTTTTTGATTTGGAAAATTCGGGAACTGTCGGGTGACTTTTCTATCGACTACAAAGTTCAACAAACCGTTGAAATGAAGGCGAAGAGAGTAAAAAGCGTTAGCTGATGAATAAATAAGGGGTTTTGGATGGGGATTAATTGCATTCGCTACTGCAGAATAATTGAGCACAATTCTCAGAGAGTTCGTTTATATTGCATGCTAAGATTGGCATGCACTGGGAAGAAATTTCTTAAATTGTCTTGCCGTATATTGGAAATAATATACAATATTAGTATTAGGAGGCCCGAAATGAAAAAAATGTTTGTTGGTAACTTCTTTACTGTATATTCAGATATTTTAAAATATTTCTTTCAAATTTATAAATTTGATAATGATGCATTTTTACTATTTCTTTCAAAGTTATTTTGGTACATTAATAAACGTAAATAAATATATATTAAAGAGATCAATTAGCATTCGTTTTCTCTCCCTGTGGCAATGTATTTATATAAGGACGTGCACACATGTCTGAACTATATTTAACCTTATCGCGTGAATCGGCTAGTGCGTGTGCGAAAAATAACTTAAGTTAGTACTGGCAATCGAATAGCTCGTGATATTCGCACGATTCGCCTTGCTGATAGGTGAAATTAGAGTTTTAAAATGACATGGTTCAGCATTTAGTTTTGGGACTATATTTACATTTCGGCATTTTGTTCAAATTAATAATTTATGGCCTACGTTTTCGGGGCTTATCTCCGCTGATACGGCCATTATCTGACTTTTGGTCTGGCCAACGTGCCCCCTAAAATAACACACACACAAATACGGAGATATGAAAGTGAAGATAAAAGTGAAAACAAACAGAAATAAATGCGCATAAAAAACGAGATAGATTGAAGTTATACAAAAGTTATTAAACATGGCACATTTCACTCGTGGTAAAGTAAGGATAATATCTTCCTTCTTCTCTGTTACGAAACAATACGATTGTATCTTCTCAGAAATCACATAAAATAATTTGTGTTTCTAAAGAAAGGTAAATTATTTCTATTTAAATTTTAAAATGGCTATCTGAGTTCTAATGGCTAATAGTGATACAACACAAAAACCAATAGAATAACCAATAAAATATTGAAAACTGATAGCAACAAAAACTGTTGATAAGGGGAACATGTTTTTAAAATGTTAAATATTCTAAGATTGTTATGTAAATTTATAGGTACATAGAAATTATTCAAAATCCTCTTCCTTTAAAAATACTTTTATTTATGGAATTTGTATAGAGTTTTAATCGGTAAAAACTGTTAAAGCAAAGTTATAAAAATTAAATGAATGAAATGCACTGTGTTTTTATTTGACTATTTTTCATCAAGCTATTTGTTTGTTTTTCGTTTTTTAAATGTATCTTTATCAGGTGTGCGAGCTTTTAAAGCTTTCGGTTTAAAAAATTCGTTTAACGGCTTTCAGTGTTGACAAATCTCTTTTGACTTAATTGATGGAATTTAAATTTTTAAATTTTGTTTCACCTAAACTAGTTTTACATTTTGTAACATACTTTTTTTATTGTAAAAGAGAAAATGCTTAAAACACCATAAATTGTAAACGATGAATTTAGTTTTGAACGGAATAATTTTATATTACAAATATTTTGTTAATACTTTACGCTTTATTTTATGTTTTGTAAAACTTAAAATACTATATTTAGCTGGTCAAACGCCTGAAAGTAGGAACAACAGTAAGATCAAAAAAGATCTCACAATTCGGTTGGTTGGGTTAAAAGATACGCCTAAAGGTGTGCTAAATTTTTTGAAGAGGGCAGTGGGATACGGATGTCTTATAGTTTATCCTTTTACAAGCTTTCTAATTTTTGCGATTGGCCAGCACTGCTTGCAAAAGCACTCTCCTTCGGTGGACGCTTTCTCTCTCTTAGCGGCATGCGCTCTCTGCGGAGGTCCTGCGACGGTTCCCGTTAGCTTTTTAATCATGTGGCCCGCTCTGCTCCGCTTGCACCTCCGCCGCAGCTTCCGCCTCGTCCTCCTCCTCGTCCTCGTTCATCTTCGCACGCACTCGCATTTGGCGAAAGGACCCGACGCAACAGCAGCAGCATCAGAGGAGCCGCAGCAGAGGAGCCGCAGCAAAGGAGTCGCAGCAGTCGCAAACTCGCAAGCAGCAGCCACAGTCGCAGTCGCAGGCAGTCGCAAGCAGAGCAGCAAGCAGTTGCAAGGGCGCCGCCTCCGTCGAGTTGAGTCCTAGTTCGTTCTCCACGCTTTTCCTGCATTTTCCTTTGGCTCTTGTTGTTGTTTTTTTTTTGTCGTTGCTATTTTTGCTTGCCATTTTGCCAGCGTTTTACGCATTAGAAACGTGTCCTGATTTTGGCAGTGGCAGGATAAAAAAAAAACAAAACGCAGCAGCAGCAGTGAGTGGTCTCTCTCTCTCATTCGCCTGCTGCTCCCATTTTGTTGCCTACTTTTTTTTGCCAGTGTGTGTGCTCCTTTTTTTGTGCGGGAAAAAAAAGAAGTGAAATTCAGTGCCAGAATATTCACAATAGCAAGAATTAACGGTTGTTCTGCCCTTGGGTCGCAACAGGCCCCCTCCCCCACCCCAACATTTCCTGTCTATATCTTTCTCTCGCTCGTTTTATGGGTGTGTTTTTGGTTTTGCCCTAGGCCGAGTTGTTGTTGTTTTTTTCTGAGTGTATGTGAGTGTAGGTGGCAAGCAATAAAATTTCATAATGGTTGTTGTACTAGCTAACACACACATGCAACCGCATCCACAACAAAAAGCACTCTTACCAAATTAATTAAATTAAAAACAAAACAAGGCATAATAAAAATGATAATGTACAAAATTAACGCATTAAAAACTCTACGCCAAACAAAAAAATGTTGAAATGGCAAAGTTGAAGAGATGGAAAAACTTCCGCTGATAAAATGACCCAAATATGGAGAGCACACACGTTCATGAAAATGCAATAAAACCTATAGTAAATACTTATCAATGAAGAGAATCAAAATAAAATATTTCTCAAAGAAATAATATATTATCTTTAAAAAACCATCAAGGGCATACCATTTTTGTTGTTATAAAAAAAAACTTTAAGTAAATGTACAAATTTCAAATATAGAAAGAACAAACAAGATTTAATGTAAAAGAAAAACACATTTTTCTTTTTATGTTTTTAAAAAATTACTCGATAACTTACAGGATTTAATTTAAAAGAACAAAAAATAAACTTAATTGGAAATTAAATACTCAATAAATTAACAAAACCGCTTCATGTAAATACGTATTTAAAACATTTAATACATTACTCGCCTATAAACAGACTTAAGCCATTTAAATCGATGTGACAAGCAATTTAATTTAAAATCCCAAAGGCAACTCAAATAAATAACTCCCTTTTATTCATTATACGCCCATAAAAAGTTATAAGCCATTGAATTCGATGTGACAAGCAATTTAATTTAATTTCAAAAAGTAATAACAGTAAATGACTTCCGTTTTTTTCGTGATACAAATTAGCCGAGAGCAAATGAAATACTTAAATTTTTCCCCCGCCTCGTTTATTCAGCCTCCTTCTCCGTCCATTTTTTAAGCCGCTTTTTCCCACATTTCCCACGCCCTGCACCGCCCCCCCGCTTTCTTTTCGCCGAAGAATCACGTTTTTGACCCATTTTCACATACTGTGGCCTAAGCCTATACAGATGGCATAAAAGCTGCTGCGAGTCCTCTTTTACCCCCATTAACCCATGGAGCCACTTAACCCTCGAGTGGCTCTCGCTGATGTAATGCCATTCAATTTGATTTGCGATGGCTAACCAGATTTGCTTGCCACAGTCATTCGGCATTTTGCGGTTGCTAATGCCTAGTCTTTACACTCGAAGAAACGGCCCAAAGTTTCCCAAAGCATCGCACTATATCTGAATGGAATAATGATGCAAATAATTGATCAAACTCAAAAGTTGTCAGTAATCAGCATTGCCACTTCAGTTATAAACATTTTAAAAATAGAGAACTCAACTTAGACATTAACTTCATAATATATATTTTATTTTTACATTTGTTCTGAATTTTTTTTTTTTTAAGATTCTTATCCGTTAGATCCCAAAATACATGACTATTTTATCGTATTTTTTTGTTTTGTGCTCCATATGAAATCTTAGGACATTCCAAACACGGTTATATAAAATTTTAAAATAGGTAACATTGTAATAGTAAACTGTAATAATTTTAATAATAATAATATATATATAGGGAGATTGGAAATTGTATCATGTAGGTTGGCATGCCCCATAAGTATGTCCTCCAGTTTTTACTTTATATCTACCCATACTTTGTTTTTAATGGAACGAAGTCTTCAGTTTTTTGTAGTGTATAAGGCTGTGTGTGAGTGTGTGTTGGATGGTTTGATTACTTGCCACATGGTTGACGATAAGTCAGTAAGTTGATGGCCTCAATTTGCGTACGACTCTAATTTGTTTGTTTTTTCGGCTCCCATTAGTTTACGTTAACCCATTGGTGGCTCACAGTTGACCACTGCAGTGTTGCTCAACGATTTCCCCAGTCGCCCAAATGAACCACTGATACGCCCCCGGTGCTTCTCTATCTGGCTATACGACCATCCTTTGTCGACATTAACCCCACTTAACTTATCGCACGTGCCTGGCCATAGACTAGAAAACTGAACAACTGAACAACTGAAAAACACAGGCTCACGCACACAGGCGCAAGCAACAGGACTCGTTTATCGGTGAGTAGTCCATGGAGTAATTCCGAGTAATTGGGTGATGGAGGATCATGGAAGAGGGCCTCTTTTCCAAAAGACTACAAATTATTAATGAGCTTTACTAAGAAGCTAAGTCCAGGTTACTAGAAAAGTATAATATGTATTTTGTATACTGCATAATAGTATAGAATTATTTATTTTCACTTTTGAAAGATAAATTTGAATCAGGATTTTATGCTGTTTAGCCACATTTTGAGAAATATTTCCCTATATCTGAAAGCATAGAAATAGGCATATTAGTTGATACTACTATGATCAGTTAGAAGTTGACAGCAACGATATTATCTAAAAATCAGCAATATATTAAATGATATAATAAAATATAAAATCCAATTTCTTAAATTTTTAAACCCTACTCACCCATTTTAAAAGTAATTTCAATCTAGTCTCTTAAGTTTAAGCAATAATATCAGCAAGGAAGTAGCTGCCAACTTCATTGATCACATATTTCTGTGACCAGTTAGAATTCAATAGTAATGAAATTAACGTCATTATATTACATGATAAGCTCATTTTAAATACAGTTGTTTAAGATGAAATATGTAGATAATGGAAAGAACATATAAATTCTAATTTGTTTGACATTTTAAAATCCTATTAGTACCTTTCATAAGCTATTTCAGTCTTGTCTAGCAAGGATGTAGCCGCCAACTCCATTGATCCTCCTGAAAAGAGCTGGAAATCGAACCCAAACTAACCTCTATGTTATGCACCTTCCAGGCAGCCCCTTGGTCGGGCCCCACTCCAAACTGGCCCATCAATTTTGGTTCTCCTACCCGCCACCGGGCGCTGGCGGCGGTTCCTCAAGTGAGTCTATCGGTTTGCGCATGCGGGGCAGCACCTTGGACCCTCCACCTCCACTATTCGTAATACTCCATGCCCCAAAAAAAAAAAAAAAAAAAAAAAAAAAATCCCACTTCGTTTGTGTTGTTCATCCCTTTGATGTCTATGTAATCTGATTGATCGATATAACCGAAAGTGATCATATAGCCCGTGTATAGTCTATAGGGAGTGCGATTATCGTTTGTTCTTTGGTTACACTTCATTTTTGTGTTATAACTAGGCCATCCTGTGAGTCCTCTCTCTGTATATCTATCTATATTTAACATATATATGTATCTTGTCTGTACGTATGTATATGTCTGTATGTGGTACGTTTGTTAAGTGACTCCTCTTAGATGTGCAAGCCACATAAAGTATCTCTCTATATTTATATACAAAGTCGATAATTTCCATTCTCTTTTGTTGTTGCCATTAATTAGGTATATATATTTTGCCACATACCATATATATATATTTATATAGCGTAACTGTAGTCAAGGCCCAGAAAACCAGAGCCAAAGAGAGAGGTAATTCGGCTTAAAGGATAAATTAGAGGATTTAATCCCTGATTTACCTTGGTTTTCTATCATTTTCCTTAGCTACTGCTTTGCGAATTCGTTGATAGTCCCTAAAAATAAATATTTCATTGGGGCTGGCCAATGAGATTTTAATATATTACAATTTAGAGAGCTTATATGTCCACTTAGTTGGCTCCCAGCAATAAACTTAAGACTTAGTTCCAATTTAAGTACAAAATAATTGAAGATTTGTTTTTTGTCCTTCTTTTCTTTGCTCTTCTTTAATTGTATTGTCTTCTATGTTCAACACACAAATAAACAAGGAATAATAAACTAAGGAATCAAGCCTAAATACGAAAAAACAAACCAAAAAGGAAAAAAATAGTATCGAATCGTAAACTGAAACCAAAAAGAAGATTGAGAGATTCTTCGTGTGCGATCGCTCCCTCTCTCTTTCTCTCAGTCACTTCTCTCTCTAACTGCCTATATGTCTATCTTTTTCCAAAAAGACACACTCAGACACACTGCACTCACCTAACGGTACTAATTCCATTCCAATCGTTCCGGTTTGCGTCGCGATCGCGTCTTAACAATTATAAAATTCGAAAAAAAAATCGTTACTAAAATATAATCAAAATCGACACAACAACAATAACAACAACATCATCACCACAAGTACAACAACATCAGAATAAAAAACACTTTGAGGTAAGGAAGAATTTCTTTCTCACTGTCTCACACACTCCGTCTCTCTCTGTCTCCCTCTCTCTCTGCCTTTGTCTCTCTCTGGTCTCGTAGTGTTGGCTAAATGGAAGTCTTACCATTGAGCCGCAAAAGAAATCCCCATTAAAAGTCCCCCTAGACCAAAAACAATTAGAAAAAACCCCTACCCCCCCTACATAACGAGTTCCGTTATCGGCCGTTCCGTTCCGTTTGTTGTTCCGTTACGTGTAGTTCGTTTCGTTCCACGTTCCTTGTTTCCCCTTAGTTGTCTTCCGTTTTTAGTTGGTTTTATGTTTTCACATTTTTCGTAGCGCTTTGATAATGATGATGATGATGATAATGACTATGATAATATACATAATGATGCCCCTGATGTGTTTGAGAGTGTACAAAAGTTCTTGTATGAATGAAACGGGGTCAAAGGTGGGGCAGGTGTACACTTGTGGCATCCACAGTGCAGCACTCGGGCCTCTTTGAAGTCATCCAAAGTGGAGAACGAGATAATTGCAGCCGGCTGACAAGACATTTGTATGCTTAAAGCTTTAGAAAAGTCCAAACAGAAAAACATGCAAAAATGCATAATAACAAGAATAAGTAGTATTTGTATGCGCTCTTAGGCACCAAAAAAATGAGTTCATGAGAGAAAACATGTATATCGTAAATATTTTGTAAGTTCATTTTACTGTTCTTCAGTAAAATATGTTGGTCTTTTTATAAAAATCTAAAACTTGGCTTTGAGATAAGATAGATATATTAAAATCAGGATCTTTAAGAAATCTAGAATGCTCACATTTTTTAGTGCGACCAGCGTTTGTTAGTAAGCATCTATGGCACTTGCTCATAGTACAAAAAATCGTTTTTTTGATTGGCTTTAATAAGAATTTTAAATAATATTAAACGTTCAAAAATGAAACATTTTGAAATCCCTTGGCAACAATTTTTTTGTTGTTCATATGATCAATCTTTATCCACCACATCACAACAGTTGTGACGCACATACTGTACTTGGTGAACTCTTGTCCTCTTGTGGTGGGTTGGCTCACGAAACGGTGAGGCCCTCAATCGGTTGAAGCCAAGGCCAAAGCTCAAAGCTCAAATATTCATGGAAACATAAACGCACGAGTAAAATATAGTATAGCAAAACGACTGTCAGCAAACAAAACGCAGAGCTGAGTGTTAGTTGTGAAGAAACCGCTCCGAACAAATGGGAATTGTTGAAAAAAAAATGCATATCTATAACTAAACAAATAAGAAAAAAATGTAAACTATTTAAAGTTAAAATTAACAAAAGTTTTGATTATTAAAAATCAAAGTTACTATCAGGGGAATAACTTGAAAGCAAGCAGTATGACCAGCGTTTGTGTCAAAAAATGACTTGGGCACACTATCAACAAACAAAATGCATAAATATATGTACAAAACTGTCTAGTTGCCGCGAAAACTGCTAGCAACTGAGCTTTAATTCGCCCGAGAAGATGACACTAATTGGGCCGCGGTCAGCGCTGAGTGTGTTTAGTGTTTTTGTTTTGGACTCAGTGTTTCGTTTTATGTTTTTAGTGCGACGCATTTTGGTGTTCAGTGTCAGTGTCGCTTGGTTCTTCACAGACAACTGACGACTGTTGATTCCGTGTGGTGTGGCCTGATTCTGGTCACCTGTCGCAAGTTGCGGATTAGCATGACGCCGCCCCGGCTGAGTCGCTATTTGATGGCAGTGCGTGGTGGGCGCGATGGGGAGCAGCGTAAGTAGGAGGATGGGAAGGGGGTGGGCGTGCCGCGGTGGCCTTGAACTGTGTGTGTAGTCGAGTGTTTACGCGTATACACGTGTGTGCGGAGAGTACGAGCTGTAGATGTGCATGCTGCAAGTTGTTTCTCTCTCCTTTTTTTTTTCTTTTTATCCAAGCAATTTAGCACTTTTCAACATGCATGTGTGTAGCACTTGAGTAGTCGATGACAGAACAATTATTGTTAAATGAAATACAATAATGAGAATCGATTGAAACGGTTTCAACATTGTCTCTCTCTCTCCCCCGTTTCTCTCTTTCTTTTCTTTTCTTCTCTTTCTTTTCTTCTTTGTATTCCCCGTTATTTTATTTTATACTTTGGATTTTCATATTTGCTTTTGTTCACTTTTTTCTTTAATTTTGTATATATTTACAACACCTTTGATTTGTTGATGTCCTTTTTTTATACTTTGTTATTATTTAATATAATTTTCTTGTTATTATTATTTGTTTATTATATAGACAGCAAGAACTCGCAGACCGACGAAGAGAAGCAGCGCGATCGACAGCGCAACGAGCGCGAGGCCAAAAAGGAAGAGCAGGACGCCATCAACTACAAGGTGAGTGTGTGGGTGTGTGTGCCTCTCTCTGTCTGCCTTCTCCCTATCTCTTTCTGTCGCGGCCAATTCGGTGTGCGTGTGTGTATGTGTGTCTACCGCGCGTGCAACAAAAATTAACAATTCTAAATAAGTAAACCTTCAAAAAAAAAAAATTACAAATTAAAAAATTAAGAAAAAGAAAAGAAATACAAAAAATCAAAATAAAACAGTGATTGATGAAAATGCAACAGCAATAACATAACGATGGCCATGCGATAACCCTTAAACCTGATAGTAAGAATGCACTTTGCGACAATTGCATGCAAACAGCGCGACAAGGAGCAACGCGAGGCCCGTCTGCTGGACTTTGAGATACGCCGGCAGCAGAAGCGGGACGAGCAACAGCAGCAGCGCCAGCAGCAACAGCAACTGCAGCAGCACCGCGAGCAGCAGCATCAGCAGCAGCGCGAGCAACTGCAGCAGCAACACCGCGAACAGCAGCAACATCAGTCCAGTGAGAAGAGCCCGCCCACCTCGTCCGCCGCCCACCAGCCTCATACGCATCCGCAACAGCAGCAGCAACAGCGGCAGCATTTGCATCTGCAACAGCACCACCTGCAACAGCAACAACAACAACAGCAGCAGCAACAGTCTACGGGTAGCGGAAGCAGCAACACACCCGTGACCCCCAAATTGCAGACACCGCCCCCCGATCGATCGCTGCCCCCCGCCTTCCGGAGTCGTTCCATCGAACGGGAGATCCTCTACGAACGGAAGCGATTCTCGCAGCCGGAAGCCGGCGAGATCAAGGTTTTCCATCAACACCCACATAACAATCCACCCCATTTGCACCCGACCTGCCAGCGGCAACTTCCCTTTTTTTTTGGGGTGGACAAAAGGGCTGATGGTGTGAGAAGGACTTAGAATTGGCATGCTTACCATTTTATTTTAATGCTTTTTTGAATTTTTCTTAATTTGTTTTTTAATCAAAACCCTGGGAAATAATTGTCAAATCCTGCAATGGCATGCCTCGTTGAATTCGTTATAAAATCTCCAATCAAGTTGTATCCTCAAAAAAGAATTCCATAAAAAATAATTTTCCCAAAGCATCATAAGAAAAGAAATCATAAGAAAAATATTTTAGCGAAAATCCCGAAAAATCTGATCCATTTTTCGGTTTTTTATCAAAACACTGCCAAATAGTGGTCGAATGATGGAATGCTAGTTCTCGTTCAATTCGTTATAACATTTAGAATTTTCAAAAAAAAAATCTTTAAACGTTTTTCCTAATTTTGATAAAAGGTTACATTTTGGATAAATATTTTTTTTGAAAATCTTATTTGTTTCTTATTTCTTAAATAAAATTAAAGCCCCGCTTTGAACACCGATTTTGTCCACCTCCTTAACGAAGAACTATTAATATAATTACTTTATTTGGAAACTCACTTTGCACAGGAGCTCGATAGTACGACATCATCATCCTCCACGCAGCAGACCTTCCCTGGCAGCGCAGTCGGTGCGGGCAGAGCGGCGGCAGCGGCAGCGGCGGTACCTGGGAGCGGGACAGCGGGACAAACGACGACATTGGCGGGGCCGCCGGCAACGGCCGCAGCTGCCACAGCTGCGATCATCCCGATATTGCCGCTCGGCGTTGCCACGCTGCGCGATGATTCCACCGAATCCGAGCAGTCCGTGACCTGTGCGCACAACCAGCTCGATGCCTACCACCGCATCATGTGAGTACTTCCATTCAATGTACTCATATATATGTATATACCAGTAACTGGAGATATGTCTTCTAATATAAGTCAAACAATAGGTGTTATGAGATTAGAAACTTGCATTTCCAAAAGGATATCATTATCTCAGTGACTAGAGATAAATTTTGTAATGTCAAACAATTGGTATTACAAACTCAACTGGTGTTTTCTAGCACCTTTAAATTTGCCTTTTTCCCCAATATAAAATTATTATCATCTCAGTACTCATTCAACGTACTCACAAACAAAAATCATTTAAAATTGGTTTAATCTTAGGAGAAATCAATTCATACGGTTGAGTGACTGAATTGGTAGCAAGGAAAGGTCATAAAAAAGACGATAAGAGTATCACTCTATTAAAATAAGCCGTGTTTGTTGGGTGATTTTATGAGTTCTTAAATGCACATTTATGACCCTAGCCTTGAGTTTTATATTCTTTCTTTATCGATAAGTGGTAGACGCAGAAAAGTCAATTAATTTTGTTTTGTTATCTCGGATGAATAAAGTTCTTTAAGTGGTGGGAGGTAAGAACTGTAAGTTTAATGAATTCCAATTATTTCTGTTTGGGCTTATATTTGAATGATTCCTTTACCGCTTGTTATTGAAGCGTGTGGGTAAAGGGCAGTAATTATTCAGTCTGGGTTTATTTGTGTATTCCTCGGGCTTGCATCATTTAAAATATGCTTTTCGACATTAAATCAGCGAATACTCTTTGCATCTTTTCTTTCGTTTTGGCGCTCTCCTTCCAAAAGCTTACAAATCACAATGAAAAAAGCTGCTTTCCCTTGAAAGAAAAACACGGTTTTTCTTGTTACAATTGTTTGTATTTATTTACTATACAATTAAATAAAATAAGTTTTCGCAAAAGTTCGAAACAAAACAGAAAAGTGCATTAAACCCTAAAAAGTATGCTTCGAAAGTTGCATGTAGATGACGTGTAAGAGGCATGTAAAATACCTAAGAAATCAAGTATGCGCCGTGTGGTCAGTTAAAAGTGCATACACATAGATGGCGCCCATGTGCAGCCATGGCAGATGCATTACAAAATAAAAGCGTTACATTAAAAGATAAACACAATATTCTACTTTATAAAAATATAAGTAAAAGTGTGGTTATATTTTTGTTTTTATTTACTATACAATATCTGTAAATTGAAGTATTTATATTTCCACCTATTTACCCTAGAAGATTTCAAATTGCTTTTAATATTTCAGTGCTGCTTTTAAGTTTATACAGTTTTGTATATGTTTTAAAGGTTGTAAATTATTTATTATGTGTTGTTGAAATAAAGAATGACCACCTATTTTATTTGAACATGTCCTCGTAACCATTATGCAAGCATTTTGAGCCCCTTAAAGTTGATAGAAAAATTAGCTAATAACATGCTTTAACGTCCACCTCAAACTAAAATGGTTAATTTTTCATTAAGGCCAAGTCATTAATCGACCACCCACGTAAACCCTCCAGCACACAGGTGCATTTCCGAATGTTTGTACCCCGGTTCCGGGGCTTTATTGTGTTTGATTTGGCACAGCCTGCAGTCTGTAGTCCGCAGTTCCGGCAATCGGATGGAAACTAAGGCATTCCCCCAGCCCCATCTTATATTTATGTGCAAAGCGAAATCCAAAACGCAATCAATTACCGTGAGTAAGTGACTTTTAATTGCTACGGGCCCATAGTATTAATTTTTCTCGCCAAAAAGCACTAAGTGTTCTTTAATATTCCAATATATACGCATAACGCTGTTGTGTATTTAAATATATGTGTAAACGCTGGCCGGGGTGTTTGCTCTGGCCTTTGGCAAATTACTTCTTTGCACTTATCCATTATTCATTATTATTCAGGCGCCATTTGTGCAATATTTGGATTCGTTCCAGCCGGGTTCCCATGCCAATGCATTAGCCTTAGTTCATGGTCGTTGATTGCGATCAAAATAGGGTGCTTCTAGCGGGTGAAAAACTGCCTGCGGCTTTGAAAATATTTAAGTATGTATTTGTTTTCCTATAATTCGAATTCCAATTGATTCATTACAATTTTTGTAAGTAAAGAAAACGCATTTTATGTCTGATATATCGATAATCAAGAGCATTGGTCATTCCAAATTGTTACTATAGAAAAGGATAGAACCAAATTTCAAAGCTGAAGGAAACTGAAAATAATATTTTTATATTATTAGAAACCCTTTTCCATTAAATTTAAATATGAGTTGTGACGACGAGAACTTTAAGTTTTTAATAAATATAACCATATAGCCATAATACCTATATAGTTATTTATGGGCTTGTAGGCTTTTGAAATATACATTTCCGATGTATAATTCAGGCCACGATTTTGGTTGCACTCAAAGTGAATTTATATTGCCTACTTAAGAGAGCAGCGGAGGGACTTTGGAGTCTGTGCTGCAGAGTAACTTTAAAGATGAGTGCTTATAGGGTATTTATATGTCAGCTTTACTTGCACGTGTGTGCAGCATATAAACGACTGTACATATATGCATTTTAGCAGAAGGAAAGGCCATGTAGGCCCCAGAGCATAAGCCGAAAAGGCAATCTCGTAAAAAACACGCACTTCCATCCATCTGTAGTACTACACACCCGAATACACCCACCCATACACTGGCACTGCAGGACACAAAAACACACTCGCACACACATGCATACGCACACTTAAAAACAGACACACACACTCACACACACACACACACTGGTAAGTACCAGTACACTCCCACATGGAGAATAAAGAAACATGCCGGGCCAATTTGCAACCGCAAAAGGAGAATAGCGAATACTTTGGGGAAGGGCACCGAAGAGATAGGAAAACAGGGAGAAAAAGAGAAGAGGATAACGGAAAAGGATATGAAAGGGAAGAAAGGGAGTCGGTCGGGCATGGCGGCTTTTTTGAACTGGGGCACGTGCGTTTAGGCCAAAAATTCACCACAAAAACAGAGAGCGACCGAAAAAAGCTCAGATGCTCCAAAAATGCGCGCGCTGGCTCTCCCTCTCACAATCTCTTCTATTCGTGCTTTCTCTCTCCAACTCTTCACCTAAAGTGTTTAAAAATTTAAACACCATCTCTGAATCCTCCTAATAATTAATAGAAAAAAAGTGCCTCTCAATTAAGGTCTTAATAAAGCGATACTCTAACTTTCTGTAAAGATATACATTTGAATGTTATCTAAACAAATTCTTGATGGTCTTGGTTTTTAAAAAGTGAACACTAAAGTAAAAGAAACGATATTTATTATTATAGAAAATGATGTGCGTAATAAAATCGAATTATTTGATAGATATTTGAAAGGGTATTTAATTTTCGACCTTCAAGCTTTTCACTCCTCTGATGTTTTATTTTCGTTTTGTTGTTTGTTTCTCTGCTGTTTCCTTCGGTTTGCAAATAACACGTGCATTTGTCGTAACCGTCGCCCGCCCTCCGCCAATCGTCCTTCACCACCTATAACTTACTACCCACCGCCCACCAACCGACCGGCCACCCAATTCCCCCAATTGTCGTTTCGCTCTTTCGCCTCGTCCGCTGCGCTCTCTCCATCTTTTTCGCTGATTTTCGCCTGCCAGCTGTGCTGCCAACTTTTCTAGCTCAAATTTCTCCAAATACATGATTAATTATTGTTTTAATATTTCCTTTAATATGGGAAAAGCAGCCATCCATTTCAACTAAAGGAGAAGGAAGCAACACAAATAATATAACCAGTTAATTCATTTCGAACAACTAGCTATATTTTTGACTGTTAACTAGTCGTATACGCGATATGGGTGTTTATTTTTGTCACTTGTTAATCACCTAAATGTAAATAGTTTTAAATAATGTAAAAAATAGAAAATATATGCATTAAAACTTAATAATGCATAATGTTTTGAAATGCACAATTAAGGCAGTGTTCAACTAGTCGTATACGCAATATCTGATATTAATATAATATATGAATAACCAAAATACAATGGTTTTTTTGTTGATTTGACTTTAAAATCACAAATTAACCTCAGTTAAATTTATTAATTAATCATCGTTTCCAACTTTTTTGATAGGCCATTGTCAAGTTATATTTTTTTATATTTTAAATGTGATACTTTCTGTTAAAACGCAAGATTGGCATTATGTTTTATCAGATCAATTTGTTGTTATACTATTTTTAATTCCAAAGTGTAATTTTTTAGTGAACCTAAACTTTTAAGGACAGATCAAACGGACAAACTTTGCAGCACTGACAGCCAAGTTTTGGTCTGCCTTGGTCACTGTTTTGCCATTTAGCTTTCGGCTAGCTGTTCTGTTTCGCCTGTTTTGCCTGTTTTGCCAGCTTTGCCAGTTTGCATTTTCCGATTTCGGCAGCGAGGCCGAAAAAAAGTCGTGCATGTTGCTCGGCGTTTGAGATAGTGAGAAAGCGAGAAAGTGAGCAAGTGAGCGAATGAACAACTGAGCGAATGAGCGGTGGGACTTCTGGTCTTCATTGCGGTGTTACGTGTTTCGCGTGTCAGACGCTTCGGTTCGCGTCGCGCGCGTTCCGTTGGCGGCAACCATTTGGGCGAGATTATTTAATAACAATTTATAAATAATTGTAAAAACAAGTCAACAATACAGAAGCAATGCAAAAGAAAAAAAAAATAAGAAAAGAGATACAAACATTGCGAAAATTGCCTTCTGTTTTCTAATATATATTTTTTTTTTAGTTTGTTTGCCATTTTTTGTTTAGTGCCAAAAAATACAAAATGTGTGTTCGTAGTACATATGTGCTGTGCGGCACATAAATATGCTTATAAATCTTGGCTGTCAAAGGAGGTGGAGGAGGGGAGAGGGGGCGGGCGAGAAGTGGGTGAAGTGGGCGGAGGGCTGGGAGAAGGTCGGGCAAAGATTTTGTTGCGTTTGTCTTCAGCAGTACCGTTACATGTGCTGGCGTGTGAAAACATTGCCGTTACATACGGCGGCCATATTGTTGATGCACACATAACGCATACGCAACGTGCAAC